AATTCTGAACTGCAGAAAGCTGGACTTAAAAGTAAAAGAAGAATCTTTATCAAGCAGCAATAACTCTAGTATTTAATTTAAGGGCATTTCTGCTCAGAATTCAGCGACTATACTTTCTAATAACATTAATCACGTACACTATGATGCTAAGAACATGCATAGAGGTTATGTAATGAGGTTAGAACTGTCCGAGAGGGGTGGAACTTCAGAATCAGGTCTCGGTAGGCATAGAGGTTGATATAGAGCTCATGTCAGGTGAGTACCAGTGTCTTTAATGGAGTATTCTAATGAACTGCAATGAACAGGATCATGTAGTGCTGTTGATACATATTCCGTCAGTCAAAACTTTCACAAAAAGAAATGAAGGTTCATCATGAAGTTCACACACAATAGGTTGCCTCCTGTGGCAAATGGAACCTTTTTCAGCCCATCATAATGTGTTTTCATCTTACACAAACTGAATTGGTAATTTTACTGTGTTAGAAAGTGAGACATTTTTTAAATTTGTTTTTCATTACTGACAGAAAGCATGGGCTACCTGCATAGAAAGATGCACACATGGATATGCCAAAATCCACTATTTTCAAACATCTTTTCATCATCATCATCATAATTCACACATAAATAAAATAAGTGACTTTCCAGTGTAAATTTAAGTGCTTTAGTTAGAGCAAGGCACTGTTGGTGTCCATTCTAGAGGGCCCTTAAGCCTCGACATACTAGAATGCTTTATTTCTGTCGGAACCTCAGCTCCACACAGTGAAGAGACCCTGGGTATTGTAGGCAGTGAATCACTGTTCTTCATGAAACACAGAACCCATATAAATACTCTGTGGGCAAAATGCAGTTCTTTCAATGCTGAAGCATATGGTACATACAGTTGCCACTGCACTGTAGAGCAGTGCTTTTCAACCGCCGGGCCGCGGCCCACTAGTGGGCCCTGGCATCAATTATACTGGGCCGCGGGACGCTCTTCTGGAATTTGTCATTTTAATTTTCTAAGCATTTTTCATGAATAAATATATTATAGTGGAAATATTCTTAGGAGAACAATATTTGTGTCAAGAAGCTCAGACACAGAACACCTAAATCTGTGTAGCAAATGTCAGTGACCAAGCCGCACATTTTAAAACATGGAAGTATTCGTGAATGATCTGGAATTTCCAGACATCCAAATCTTTCAACATTTGGGAAAGGCAATACCGATGTTTATGACCAGTCATAAAAATTGCCTGCAAGCCAATCACAACAATGGGCAGCATATCCTCTGTTCTCAGAACTGAGCAAAATAACAACTGTGTTGCAAATGTCAGTGACCAATCAGCAAGGGAGTATAAAGAAACTGTTTCGACTGAAATTGAAGATCAAGGCAGTCTGTATCCAGTTCTCAGATATAGTAATACTGAATACTGTTTCTTCGCAAGTTCATATTTCAGTGTGTAAGTGCTTGTTTTGAAACTTGAGTGAAGATGTCATTTGAAAAATATTATCCCAAACATGAGGATCCCCGGAGGAAAAATATGTGGATTGTGAACCTTTTGTTGAACACAAAGAGACAGCCCTTTCCAATGAAGAAACCCTTCAACTTATTGAATTATCATCTCACAAAGGACTTGAAAGTACTTTTAATACTACGAGTAATTTGAAATTCTGGATAAGAATGAAAAATGAATATCCAAATTTACATGAAATAGTACTGAGGTTTCTTCTTTGTTTTTCTACAACATATCTTTGTGAAACTGAATTTTCTGCCATGACTGTGCTTAAAACGAAACAAAGGAACTGCCTGCAACTTTCTGACTGTCTCTGTTTGGCTCTCCAATTCATCCCAGAATTAATAAGCTAACGGACCAAAAACAGAAACAGAAGTCTCACTAGCCTAACTGAAACCTTCCAAACTCAGTTGTGATAAAAGAAACTAAGTTTACCTTTCCAATAACTTATAATTGCTGTGTTAAAGTGCTGCGTCTTTAAAATAAAAATATTAATTAGTGTTGGAAGTAGTGTTTAGAATTGAGAGATTCATACATTTTTATTTATGAAATTACATACTTTACATATATAATTATTTGGTGAGTGTATGTGATAATAAGTGTTTCGCCGGCAAGTTGACATCCTTCTGCTTCTTCCCCTACTCAGCTGACTTCTATGGTGAGTTACAATGCATAAATATTTTTCTCACTGCCCTTTTTTCAAAACAACATCATTAAAATCAATTTAATAATCCAATAATCAATTTTACGCTGAATAACATAAGTTTTTGGTGATCAGCATGGGATATATCAATGAAAATTAGCACAAATTAATTTAATGATGTTGGTCTGAGGAAACTACAAAATGCTACAAGATTTCAGTCCAGTGATTGATAACTAATTTAAATGTAATTTTTGTTTGTCAACATGCCACACCGTATACATAAGTGTACTAATACTCTTTATGATTATGCTATAATTAATTACTAATATTACGTTAGCTTAAAGCATGAACTTTAAAAAAACTGGAAAGGTATTTACGAGTAAATTTGTTGGGACTGGGCCCTCATCTTATAAAAAAAAGTACTTACTGGGCTGCGGTCTCATAAAGGTTGAGAAGCACTGCTGTAGAGGAGTTATTACCACCAAACAAAAATATTTTGTGAGGCTGTCATGTTATAAATTTCTTTTTGCCTAAAAAAGATAATGCAATAAAATAACTGGCGTAGCTACCGCTTCTCCACTCCTGCAACCACGCTCGGCAAGCAAACCTTTTCCAGCAACCAAGCAACCTCCAGCAACGGCTGCACTGCGGCCAGTCAACTGACTCAGCCACCTCAACACACCGCATCCAACATCCCCTTTCTACCGGTGAGTGCCACGCTACTTCACCGGGCAAACATCCCAGCAGCCAACTGTCCTTTTCAGGACCTACAAACTTTTCTGAAGAAGTGGGTTGTCATAGGAATAACGACAAAACCCCACAACACGAACAAACATTTAATATACAAACTGTAAAGTAGTTAATCTAAAAATATATGAATACAGAATCTAACATTGTTTGTTTGGTCATTATAGTATTTTAAACAGAAGTATCCATTCTTTGCCCAGGATATAATTGCAATTGCTGTCAATTTCGCTGTATTTAGTAGCTAAAACGTTAATGAAGGAATAACACTCAAATTAATAAATTAAAATTTACTCATGGAATTAGAAGAAAAGATAAGGAAATTGGGATTCAAATGATATATGAAAACTCTACTGCAATGTCACTTTTAACAGCCATGGTTACTGTACATACTGGCAAGTGTATGGAGTAAATCTCATAATGTCTTTGGGTGTGCTCTGTTAGGTTCACAGTAGGAAACAGGAGATGGACAGGAAAGTTACATTTATGTATATGTTAGACATCTGGATCCTCCAGTCATTACACAATACCAAGCTCTGATGATGATGTAACACTGAACAACTCACTATGAACAATATTTTGGGAGATAGCTGTAAGATGAAATATTTGTGGCTTATGTTAATTCTTTGGGACCTTCTTTTAGTGATACATTTCCTGGTGTTTGAATAATATTTGAAGGGCCATGAGAGTAAAACTATGTGGAAAATTTCAAGACATATTAGTGGGGTAGCTCTTTGTCCTTTCACTGTGCTCATTATTAAACACTGGGTTAGTGGAGTGTCTTAGTGGTAACAAGGAGGCACTGAAAAGAATAACAAAATGCCACAGGCCACTCAGTAGACAGGCAGAATTTTAACCAGTCAACTTCATAAAGCAAATCACATTGTGCAAGATTTGAGGTTATCACAACAATGAAGATTCACATTGTGGTCTTTTAGGTTATGATATCATGCAGTTTTGTGGGTGGATAAAAATTTTTCAAAGGTGCTGTCCCTGTCTTCAGTAACATGGAGTCAGCAAGTTCCTCTGAAATGTTGGTGTCCACCTACAAGACCACAGCAGGCCAGGCCTAGGAAGTTATGTGGGAAAAATGTCATGTTTACCCTTACAAATATTACTGTGAACTGTGCCTCTAGTCATTTATGGTTTAAGGTTAGTCTGGTGAATAGCGGGTATCACTAGATGAATCCAGCTATGATTGTGAAGATGACGCCTATGGACAGCATGTAGTGGAAGTGGGCTACCAGATGTAGTATATATTGTGTAGGATGATGTTGATTGATGAGTTCACTAGAAGCACCCCTGTCAGCACCCCTCTTGTGAATAGGAATATAAATCCTAGTGGCCATAAGCATGTTAACTGTGACCCATACACTGTTGCTAGTCACCTGAGGATTTTGATCCCTATCAGAGATGCGATGACTATTGTTGCTGATGTAAAGTATGCTATCCACACTACAAATCCCTGTAGGCCGATTGCTATTATGGCAAAGATTATTCCTAGGTGTCGGAATGTTTCCTTCTTACATGTTTCATGGCAGATGATGTGTGAGACTATCCTGAATCCAGGTAGGATTAGAATATACTTCTGGGTTTGCAAAGAATCAGAACAGGGAATGTAATAGGATTGGGTCACCCCGTCTGGCAGGGTAGAAGAAAGACGTGTTTAGGTTTTGGTCTGTTAGCATTGTGGTTGTATGTTACTCATACATACGGGCTTTTTGACTTTGGCTTTGTGTTCAGTTAGTGAGGTGCAGTGAGTTGGTTGCCCTATGAATTAGTAAGAGACCTGCTGAGGTCCAGTCCTTATGTGCTGTTAGAAGCTGATAGCTGAAGCATGACGACAATTCACGAACCCAGAGGAAGGGGAACATCTGCCATTGGAAGTCCTTACCAGAAAACTGATGAAGGCAGGGCAGATTGAGAAGATTTTAGTGCGTGCGGTAATGAATTGCAGAATGTGACTTAGCAATAACGCTATAGTTAGTTTTAGTTATGAGTTGTGTGTATAAGTGTGCAAAACAATTTTATTTTGGTGATCACTTTTACAATTAATATATATATCATGACGACCATGTGAATTCAAAGTATTGTTAACTTAAGAAGAAATGTGATACACATTTATCTTTTATCATATATTTTATATATCATCAGACAATTTACAATCATTTAATAAATTCTTCAACTCAGCTGATTTCAGTGTCAATTTTAATCAATGACAATATGCTGGAAATAAAAACTCATGAGAGAAGAAACCTGTTGAACAGCGAAAACGTTATTTCCTAACTTCATATACCCATTACAAAAATTACAGATTTTCATTTTTTGGCAAATGAGAAACAAATTTGACCTGAGAAACATTAATCCTGTAAAACTGTTATAAAAACCTGGTGTGGTACTCATACATCCTGGTTACATTTGTACCTCAATCTAATATCAAATTGAAAACTCCAGTGTTAGTTTTAACATCTGTTCTTGAAATACAAAGTCAATAAAAAGCCAGTTATCTATTTTAATTTCACTAAACACTGACAATAACATTAATCCAAATATAAAATGTTTCAAGTGAATTCTTGATATTTCATTTGATTTGGAATGATACAGTGTTTACAGTTAAGTCTGTAAATGTTGTCCTTTATAATTATGAAACTAATTCCCATTTAATACTTTTGCAATAGCATAAATCAAACTATAGTTTTTATGCAGTCACTCTGAAGCAATGTGAGTGGAATAATTTTCACTTGAAAGAGAAATATCAAACTGTTTTGAAGAGTTTCATTTCATTTCCACAATAATAATACTTGGTTGTATTCTGGGGCGCCTACTCAGTTACCTTTATTGTAAAATTTCTTTATTTTACTGCCATTATCTGTGTTTTGTAAGTCATCGCATTTTGATGATGCATTGGATGAACTTCAATATACACAAAGTACTGTATCTGGCCATTCACTTTGTGTTAAATATTTGTAGTATACAGGATACGCCTTCTACAGAACTGTGTATATAAATCAATTAATTACATATTACTTTACTGTAATGACAGACATGTTTTAATATTATGTCGTCATCATGCTACTTTTACATTATTTTAAATATAATTGCACTGCTGCTCTATATTGGCCAGTGTTTACAGTTATATTCTAAACTTGTTATACTGAACTGTTGGTAAGACTGCCATCAGATTTACGTGCTGTGAAGCTGTCATTGCTGTATTTCATAGTTCACTGTTATTACCTGTCACAAGTTCATAATTTTTGGTTGAATTTCTTTGTTAAAAATTACAAACATGTTATCTGTAAATCACCATGTGTTTTTGGTGCAATGGGTAACATGGACCACACAGAGAATTTTATTCGGATGTTGAAATTGTTTATTCAGTTTTCTTCCTCTTTTCTTGCTTGTTCCCTATGTCTCAATGCATCTTTGCCTTCCATAAAATTAATTCTGAAAAATGAAATGTAATAATATTGAGAATGATTGCTATGTGGTTGTGGGTGTTTAGTGACATAAAACACTGTGCCACTGTTGGTAATGCTTCTTCTGCTTGCTCATTTTGGTGTGGAGGGTAAATGTATTCTTGATCTTATAAGCATATGATGTTTGGAGCATCAGTTTGTTTGTATGTTGCTGAGTCTGATATTCTGTTGACTATATATGCAGTGCTAAAATGAATTAATGTAGTAATATATATATAGGCCCGTTGCTAAACAGTGACCCTGTAAACAGCAGCTGTTGCTAGGTAAGGCCTGCAACATACATGCATGCAGCAATAAAACGATGGTGTGATGCAACCTGTTTCTAGGCAATGGATTGGTAAGCATGCCTACAACAATACAATTACTGTTAGCGGTCTTTTCTGTTTGTTCTGTGCAAAGTAGGTATAAGGAAGACAGCTGGGGGGTGATCCAGTTAGTTGAGAGTTGAAAGTCCAGCTGTGAAGAAAAGAGTTAGTCACAGGAGTGAGGCTGTGAAAAGAAGATGTAATTTATATGTGTTGCAAGTACAGTGAGACTGTTAGTGTTAAAATTTTTGCCAGGATATAATTAATGAAGACTAAGAAAAATTAGCATATGCTGGTGATTTGTGAAGTGGGAAGACTGATGATGGTGTTGTGATTACTTGTAGTTCTGTGTTGTGTCAATATCCAATCTATAACATGCCTACAGTCACACCAGAATGTGTCAATATTGAGAATGACATATCCCATACACTTCAGTATGCTTCTCAGTGTAGTTTCTGTCCATTCTTCCTCCATGTCTTCAATTGGCCTTGAAATTTCAGATGGAGAACTGGACATTGTGTTCAGAAATAACCAGATTCTTCAGCAAGTGGATCCTCACTTGGCCTATTCCCAAACACTGATTATGTACTGGTTTCGCACCTGCAGACATATGTGGATTAAAATGGCATTAAAAAATAGTATTTTCTGTAAAAGAAAACAATTTATAAATAAGCATATTTATTTTATACTCCCAATGAATATATGCAACAGCTGCAGAACTGTAAAACTGCTAAGTACAAGCAAGAACTCTCCTGTATTTTATTACCGAAGGTTACAGACTGTATAATTCTGTGTATAGTATCTTTAAATGGCCCTTAATTAACTACTGCATTCCTTTTAGGTTTCTTGTTGCAAAAGTTTATAGTAACATGAAACGTTCAAGAAGACATACCAAGCAATTTCAAAAAGATTTTTATAGCCAAGCTTAAATATTATTTAACATTTTTCATCAGTGGCTCTTTTCTTTACCCTGCAATGAAAAACACGTTTAATTCTCTTCAGTAAATATATCACTGTACCAAAAACTTGAGTGTAAATCTACATCCAGTGACTTACATAATTTCAGGAAGAGCTTACCAATAGCTCATTTGTAGCAAATATAATCTTGGCCTGTAGGATTATAAAATGAAGAAACAATGGCTGATAATTTCCTAGAAGAAGAAGGTGATCAGTCATCTTGTAAGATCTAATGCACCTTCTTCAACATATTCTACAACACTGTAATAATTCTATAATACCATTTTACTATGCTCTATGCCATTTCTTCAGAACTTTACATACACTGTTACAGTAGAACGTCGCTCAACCTGAATTATTAGTGGGTGAGCAAGTCATCTGGATTAAATAATAATACGGATTAGTGAAGCAAAAGTAGCCCCCCTTCCCGACAGAAAAATTAGAACTTTAATGATATACGCAGTGCTGATGAAAATGAATTAACAAAATATAACCGTAAAGACTTTATTTCAAAACTACAAAAAGACAATACATTTATTCATTGATGGAAGACTCAGAAGTTGTGCTTGTTTTTGAACGTGATGATGCAGGTTTGAAGAAACTGTCGAGTTTTGTCTGAATTGATAAGTGACTCATCTGCCTTCCTAAATGTCATGTGTCTTTTAAAGTATGTACTCAACCATGAACAGAATTTTTTATTTTTCATGTTTTGATCCAGATTAGTAACTAGATTAGTGAGGGTTTACTGTACTCCATAAATTAGCTAAAAATGTGAATAAACTCTCATATTAAATTGTCGTTGATCTTACACTGTAAGCTGAGTGGTCCAAAGGTTTATATACTTGAAGAAGAGTCCTATCTTCTGAGAGGTTGTACCATGTAATGTGTTCACTCATGTGTTAGAGGAGTATAGAGGAGTACACCATATCCATCTAGGTGTCAAAACGTAAGCATGGTACTTACCCTTTGACTCCAAAGATGAGGGTGGTATATTTCTCCAAAATGTGGGTAAGTATCTACATAGCATAATCTCCCAGAAGAGTGTGTACTTCATAGTCATGGCTGTGAGAACCTCATGATTTGCATGGTTGGAGTCTTGTTACTATGGACCTACATGCTCATGCTATGGAAATTAACTGGACCTCCGTTATTTTAATTTCTGAATAGCTCGATAAATTCTATTATACAGACCAAAAGGAGTTCCCTAGTGGCAATCATTTTCATATGCATAAACATTTCCTTTCACTCACTTTGTTTGAATTGCAACCAAGACAGAAAGCAATATTAGGCAATTTAATTTTCTGACCAGAGTTACTGTGTGTTAACAAGGAAGGGTGATGGTACCATGGTGTTTTGAGATATCATGTTTTATTTTTTCATGAATCGCAGTACACCAGCTGGCAGCAATAAAATTATACACATAACACAATGGAAGGTTTTGCTAACTGTAAGAAGTGAATGCAATTGTTACTTTCTCTCATAGCCTGAGATAATAACCAAAATTTCAAGACCCATACACAGTCTGTTCTAGTAGCAAGAATTGTTTGCTATAGAAGATGTGTTGCATAAGGCTTGTTCATTTATACACATTTCATATTACACTGCGAGTCGGAACTCTTGAAGTGACATAAACAATAAAGTTTGCTGTAGAATTAGTGGGAACAGATCACTCTAAGAGATGTTATGAAAAAATTGATTTGCATTTTCTTTCCCATAACAAAGCACTACAAATGCTAGCTCCTGGACCAGCAGTGATTATATTGATGAGGTCTATAATGATGTTAGAAAGCCTACTATGAATGAATACCTTGACAGCTCTTTCCAGAACATTTAGACAGCATATCTTTAAGAGGAGCATAATGTATATTCAGAATGTGCTGAGAGTATGAACATATCTGATGAAATGGAAAAGGGGAATTTCATTAGTCTCGTTTTTATTCATGCATTTCAGATCTGAGACTCAAGTTACAAGAGCTCTCATGTCGCTTGCAACTGCATCCATCACCCCAGGACACTTTGTTATCCATGCAGCCATTCTGTGTGCTACATTTCTGCACATGTTTTACTGTTAATTTTAATCTTCTAGATCTTCCTGCTACTCACTGTTGGTAGTAAGCACAAGGAAACATGCTGTCATATACCAAATGATTCAGTGTGAACTGCATTGAAATAGTGGTGTGAGGAAATTACTGATGAAAATTAAACATGTAATGTATTAATTATTCAGAAATCAAATGTCTTGTTATACAATAGAACTGAAAAATTTTAAGGCTTAATTCAATCAGACAGCTTCAAAGGCTATGATGGAACTAGGGGAAGTAAGTGGTGAATTTGGGAGGAGAATGGCTTTTGCACATGTTAACATTCTGTGGTAGAAATTGGTATTAGTACTGTTACAAGAGTGTTACTTAACATTCTTTGTGTTAGGGACACATTGTTTCCAACTCTATGAGTGTGAATTAAATTACAAATAAATCACTGCTGTTATTAAAAACAGTGTGTAAAAAAACATAATGTTACTAAAACAGAAATTATGGGTCACAAAATAACAAACAAACCAAGATTTTATTTTAAGTGACTGGTCTGTGTCTGTAAATTGTCTGTTCACAGGGTCCGATCATGTGGCTGGTTTAGGGGCTCATGCACAATCAAAGTCTTTTCATAAACCAGGAGAAAACTAATCTGCAATGTTGACATAGGCCACATTGTGCAGGACACATGTGAAAGGAGAGACTGCAACCAGTGCTAAAACCTGGAAAGACAATATCAATTACTGGCAGTTTCTGCTATGATCACCTTACTTTCAAACTGTGAACACACCCAATCATACAACTGAAACAATTCGTTCTCTATGCTAATGTTTCCATTTAATATTCCAATAAATAAGTCAACCAAAAGAGCAAACAAATATCTGGACACAAGCATCGTTCAACCACATTTTGCCAAAAATTAAAAAGTTAATTTTAGAAGACTGTGCTTAAAAAATAACAACATAAGTATGAATAGCATAAAGAGGCCATCATGACAGACCTCTGTCGTTGTAAATGTTGCTTGAACACTGAAGACGAATGAGTCAGTGTGAATTCAAGTGCCGATGCGGAAGCCATACTCCCCTTCTTCTGACTGCTTCACCTGATCCTGCTCAGAATGAGTTCGAGCACCCAGCACATGCCTTGGTTGCCCAAACTGGGAGACTGAGGCAATGCCCCCAAGAGTAGAAGCAGCTCCTAGGTACTCTTGCTCAAGTGACTGTGAGATGTCACGTCTCGTGCTGGGTTCCCGAAACAGTGAATACAGGTTGCTGCGCTGCTTCGGTCGGTGGGATTGTGGTGGTGGGTGTGAAGCTGGAACTTTCTTCAGCGTGGTGCTGGTACGGAAGATGCCGTCAGGTCGCGCGGGAAGAGGTGGTGGCCCTGGATTTGATATAGGCCTTGTTGTCAGTTCATACATAATTTCTTCGTAGACATGGTAATCTGGTCCAGGTACTATCCCTGATCCTGGTCTCGGCACGAGGCTGGGAGATACTTCTGGACCCACATTTCCCCACAAGCCTGCCCGTGTAGGTCCTGTAGCAAGTGTATTAACGTCCACAGCTCTAAAAGGCAATGATGGGGATGTAGGACATGGCCCAGTCTCCGGAACTGATGGTGCTGGTGCAGGAGGTGACACTGGGTTGCTTCTAGGTTGCACCAGACCTGGCAGTTGAGTCTGATTCTGAAGGTCTTCAATGATCTCCAGCATACATTTTGCCACTTCGGAGAAGCGACCCGACTGAGAGTTGGAAGCTGTGGGGCTGGTGCAGCTGCTCTCGCTGCTCGACGATGATTCAGGAGCTGCTAACGCCCCTCGATTCTTCTCTACAGAAAAGAAGAAACACCCAGTTTGTATTAACTGTTGGAGTGATTATCTTCTGTATAGTTCTCTGAAATAGTGTGAATATAATGTAATAGAATTAGGTGCATTCAGTATTATCAGATTAGTCAGTCAATGTGATGGAAGATCATGTATGATAAATTTTCAAGTGCATGAGGTACTAATACTATTATGTGAGGAACAGGAGGTCCTGAACGTGGGTAGGAAATGAACCCCAGTACCTGGAATACTGTTCATCCCATTGAGCGATGACAGTAGAGTCAGTTTAAATGAGGTGAATTTGATAAGACCAGAGAATGCACTGCTTAGGTTGTGTGGACCATGCCAGCAAGGTAGAAAACTGCAGATGGGTGGAAAAGCAGCCGGGGTGTTGATTCTCTTTCCTGTGCCCCTGGGGACCGATCGAGTAGGTTCATTGGAGGGTATCCGAAACAAACTGGGACAGAGGCACGACATCACATCTGGAGACAGAGAGCATGCAGATGCCTTACCTCGGCTGACTGTCATTTGTGCACCAGCAGAGAAGCAATGTATCCGTGCTACTTAACAACCTGATCCATTGTTGCACACGATCATGTAGAATTAAGAATCCTTTTGGTTATATTTTGAGAATATGGGATTATGGATTATTGCATTAAAGCTACAATTTGAAGATGTAAGATGGCGGCTGCTGAGATGCATAGTTGAAAGTGTTCCAAGTTACAAGTTGATACTAAAAGTGATAATTTTGAAACAAATTGCCAATATTGTTCTAAATTAAACAGCGAACTCCAAAAAGCAAAAGATGAAATATTATCTTACAAAGAAATAATTAAAGTACTTCAAGAGGAACTAAGTGTGAATGTGAAGCCCGAGCAAAGTAATGACCTGCGTAATCAGTCAAAAACTACACTCGTGGAAGAAGACTGGATATTAGGAACAGCAAAAGGTAAAAGGAATTTTAATGCCATGAACAGAAATTTAATACAAATAATACCCATGAATTTAAATAAATATGAATTACTACATAACCTCAGAGAAGATGATAAACTGACGTACTTGGAAAAGAGAGAAATAGGAGTAAGAAATGCAATGAAACATACTTTGAAAAAAGATAGGACTAAATGTGCAGATAGTCAGAGGAAATATACAAACAATGTATTAATAATTGGAGATAGTCATGTGAAGAAAAGTGCAGCTGAGCTTCGCATAAATTTGGATCAGTGTTATGAGATTACGGGATTTACCAAACCTGGTGCCCAAATGGGCGAAATTCTGGGAACGGCAGTAGAAGAAGTTGCACTATTAAGTAAAAAGGATATCCTGGTTTTGTTGGCTGGAGCAAATGATATAAGTAAAAACAACACAGATGAAGCATTAAAGAGCTTAATGAAATTTTTGGAAAGGCACAAGTGGTTAACATCATCTTAATACAAGCACAACATAGACACGATCTTATAAATACTTCCTGTGTAAATAAAGAAGTTGTTACATTTAATAGGCAAGTAGAGAAAGTAATAAAACTATATTCTAATGTAAAATTAACGGAAGTCGAGTTAAAAAGACAACACTTTACTAGGCACGGACAGCACATGAATCTACTGGGCAAAGAGTTAGTTGCCTCTGAGCTGGCCAAGAAAATTAAACAGCTATTAACAAAGGTGCAAAATAATCCAATCCCAATTCAATGGACAGAGGACAACCAGCATTATGAATACTCGTCAGCGCAAAATGGAATCGGAGAAATGATACTGGCAAATCATCATATAATGTCTGTGAAATCAAATAAGAGTCAAGGTGAAAAAACAGGAAAGTATAAACATCTTTGAGAATTAGAAAGGCACCTTTAACAATGTCAAATGATTTTTTATGGTAAAACATCTCAGTAGCTGTAAACCAAAAACCATTATTAAGAATGTTTTTAAAATTTTTCACCAAAATATAAGAGGTTTGAATAATGAGTATAATGAATTACTATGTCATCTTGAAGACCATATACCTCATGTACTCTGTTTTACTGAACATCATCTGGACAGTGATGAAATGCCTTATCTTAATTTGGGCAAATAGCTTTAGGTGCTTTTTACTGCAGAAGATATTTTAAAATGGGTGGAACTTGTATATATGTACAAAATAACTTATATATCATCAATATAAATCAACAATTTCTGTTATGACAAGGATATTGAAGCCTGTGCTGTCTCTGTTACTATTGCTAGTCACAAAATACATATTTTAACTATTTATAGATCACCCTCCAGCAATAATGATATATTTTTGGGTAAATTAGAGTTGATTCTACAAGAATTGTGTAAAACCAAGGCTAAAGTTTTTGTTTGTGGGGATTTTAATGTCAACTACATGGACAATTGCCATAAAAAAAGATAAATTGGATGATATTCTTAGCTCTTTCAACCTAAGAACCATTATAAATTTTCCTAGTAGAATTGGACCTAATTCAGTTTCAATTATTGATAATATATTTATTGATGAACGACAGTTTACAAGCTATGAGGTTATATGCATATCAAATGGGTTATCTGATCATGAAGCTCAATTATTTATCTCACATCTTCTAGTGTTTTGCACCATAAAAAATGAATAACTAGCTAAAAGAAATATATATATGATTATAATATTGCACAATTCAATATGAAATTAAGTTACAAAAATTGGGAATCAATTTTTAACAATAGTGACATCAATACCAGTTTTAATCAATTTTTAAAAAAAATTTTGAGACACTTTTACGAGTCATTTCCAAAAACTACAAGACAAAAGTATAAACAGAAATCATGGATATCTACTAGCATTAAAATAGCCTGCAAAAACAAGAGGGCTCTTTATGATGAAGTAAGCAATACGTTCTCATGTTCTGGTCCGGATTATCCGACATTCAGAATAACTGCAGCCAGGGTAGTGAGGTAAGATTTGAGGTTTTCACGGTGGTGACTATGAAGAAAGTAGTCTTCTGGGATTTGGCACCGTGTATATGTGGTGTTAACCGACGTTTCGGAGGAACGTATCGCCTCCATCTTCATGGTAGAAGGAAAAATATAAGAAATCCGCAGGCGAAGAGACCCTGAGAACCGGTACAAGCAGATTAGTGAGGGTTTACTGTACTGCAAAATGTATTGGCACACTACTTGATGCGGGATAGGAGGGCGTGGAGGATCAGTCCACTGTCACTTTCTTTGCTTATGATTCCGAGGACAGGGCTGGCCCGATTGATTTGTTCTAAATGAGACTGCAATGTTCACCATCAAGAAACCCGAAACAAACATGTCTTCACCTTACATGAACTTCACGATACTTTGCGCCTACAAATCATTGAAGATCATACATTTTTACTTACAGTGAAAAGCGATGCCTGAATTCGACTGCAAAAACTGATGAATCATCCAGTCTGAGTCGATGCTTTTGCCGTGATTCAGCCAAGGTACTGTTTGTTTTCAGTGTGCATTACTAATCTGCTCTTCTCGTATATACGTATTCTGTCAAAATTGGGGGTGGAGTGGGGGGGTTTGCGCTCTCCGAGGGTGATTAAGAACTAAGAATTAAATTTATCAGTTTACAATTAAATCAGTTACTCTTTCGGCTGCAACTAAATGTGGCTTAGAATAAAGTGTGAATCATGAATCTTGATGAAGGAAGGGTTTGGAAATTTGACTAGGCCTAGTTCCAGACACAATCCAAAAGTTCACGTCGATAAAATCAGAAATATCACCAAATAATTCCGGCACGACAGATGAGCTTCTAAGAGCGCCACCTCAACAGTGACCTGTTCACTACAGTGGTCTGAAAGAAACGGGCAAGACCTCCTTTTACAAATGTATGAAATGCTTCAAGAGGACCCTGGAAATAGACCAGGGGCCCATCCAAATCCGTGGCAAATAATACTTTAATTTGAACAGAAAAGAGAGCTTTATCCAATCAGTTCTCTCGTTAGCGTACCTGAACACTTTGTATAACGGTGAAATGCAGTGCTGGGTTCTGAAAAAAGAAAAGTTCCCATCTCTTCTGGGAATCGCCGATGCATGATACTTCATCAAGCGAAGAATTGCGAACGGTTCCTACTTCTTGGAACAATCGCAAGGCTTTCCTGTTCAGTTACCCGTTACTACAAAATATCCATAAATCAGTATAATTAATTACACATCAGTGCTATGTGTCTGACCGCCTCCGAGGGCATCTTCTGACAAGCCGACAAATTGCAATTCCGCAGCATCTGCGCAGAGCGGTTGGTGGCTCTCACTCGGTCCCTTCTTTACAATCTGACAGTCGCTGCATGATCAGGAATTCTATGGCATTCATCGAAGTCAAAATCCACAAGACGTAGGACCACCATTTCTTGGCTGTCTGCGAATTCTTATTCAATGTTGTGACATGCAGATCTGTTGCTAGGCAACGCTCACAACACACAAGCGGCCAACAATACAGGAGCAGTGTTTTCTGTGGTCCGCGCTATGGAGCGCGCGCAGCTTAAGCTGCCTGTTTATATCTGTCCTTCTGTTTGTGTCTGTGTATTTCCCCTAATCTTATGCGATTACCTTGTTGCCTACATGTTCCACCTGAATTTTTTCTTTTTCTATGCGGTCCGTGTTGTATCAAAGAGATGGAGACTCTTCTCATAACTTCCCGTTATAAGCTATACATTTTATGTTCCTTAAGCAGTTTTCAAGCATTACTGCCGTGTCGTAAACTGGAGCGTATTATTTTCCCTGATGATTCTTCTCATGCCCCGAAGTTATTATTTCGGGCACAAGTTGGCGCTGTTGCCTGCATGGATCTGATTTTTGTGACAGTAAATGCACTTCCCAACGAAACTTCAATTAATTCTCTACCTGATAATTTCGGCGATTTAAAATAATTGTTTCATGCACTAAAACAGGCATCTAAACAGCATACAGAAAGTTCTCATTATCTGCTGTTTGTTCTTTATTGGGGGGGAGGGGGATTGAACACAGATTCAGACTTTATTTGGTACATCAGCGCGTAATTTCGATTAGAAACTCGAAGAAGGAGAGCAACGGAGCTGTTATGGGCAGCAGAGGCTGAGTTCTCTGAGCAGCAAGGTAGGGACCTCACCTAATCTCCGTCAGTTAAAAGCGAGATCATAAACCTACGAGCATCTCGTCCAGAAGTTGTCCGAAATCGTTTCACGTGTTCAAATTGCAGGAGGGTGAAACTAACCACTGAGCTCTGTCCGTGCTGAGTTGGCGAATGAGAGCAGTATCAGATCTACATACAGTTCACGGCACAAAGCCACTGTCTCGATAACATTTCAGCGATAATATCATGTACATTAGAAACACATTTTCAACGTGTAGATGTGTGCTGTATATGGAGGCGTTCTCAGTAAATTCATGCTCAAATGAGCAGCTTTTTAATATAACTCAGGCGTTTTCAGTCTGTTCATATAGAAAGGGCTAAAATAAAGCAACTGGTGAATGTGTCCGTGACAGTTTCGAGCGAGTTAAACGAGACGCTCGGGTATATTCACCAGTAAATATACATTGCTAGTGGGGTGGGACTAAGTCCCTTGTACTGCGGCCACTTCTGGCCTATTGTACCAACCCCAGATGACAGGTGAGGGTGATTGTGGAGCAATTGGTGGAATGAAGGTTGGCAGGGAAAACCGAAGTACTCGGAGAAAACCTGCCCCAGCCCCACTTTGTCCACCACAAATCCCACTTGACCAGACCCGGGATCGAACCCGGGCCGCCGCGGTGGGAAGCCAGTGATAACCGCTTGAGCTATGGCGCGGCCCTTGTCTTTTCTTAGTGGACATATTAAAAATGCATAAGTTGCATGAAAAATTGAGCCGGGATAGCGCGGTCGGTATAGCGACTGGCTACTGGTTGGACAACCGAGGGGTTGGAGTTCGAGTCCGGGTAGGGTCAAGAAGTTTCTCTTCTCCCCGTCGTCCAGACCGGTTCTGGGACTCACCCAGCCTCCTATTTAATGGTTACCGGGGGTAAAGCGGCCGGAGCGTGAAGCTGTCCACTCGCCTCCGAGGTCAAGAAAATGTGGACCTACACATCCACTTCCCCATGCGCCTCCATGGCGTAGTGTTTAATTAGTTAAGCACACGGACAACTTTACCTTTTATCTTTTACATGAAAGACACTCTTCAGCATTAATTTCCGTAGAAATCACCATACTGCTTCGAGCAAAGTGTGTTTAAAGATTAAAATGTTCCGGGCATGACTGACATGAAATAGCATGGCAAATGCAATTATTTGCGCAACGGCCCTACTCTTTCCTCCGCCCACTTCAGCGGGCACAACGGGTACTCTTGTTCTCAGGAACCTCCACCAATTACTTGCCCCCTGCCATGCTATTACACGTCACACACACACATATTACCTCTGAGCTTCTTAACGCGAGCCACGCTGCTCCGTCTGTACTTGTCCTCGATCATGGCGACGTAGCTGCAAGGGATGTCCTCCATCCTGCCGTAGAGCAGCGCATCTATGTCCTCCTCGGCAGTGACGAACCGGGAGCGGTGGAAGCCCGGGGAACTCTTTCCGCTGCCGTTACTCGCGCTGCTGTAGGACGGGCTGTGCGTCCTTGAGCTGGGATAGCTTGCCATATGGGGTCGTCGTTGTGGCAGTGGGCTGGAGCCAGGACCTCCCGAACTAGGGCCGGGGCTGGCAGAACGGTAGCCGGGACTGCTAGCGCTGGAACTGCGGGGTCTGAACCCCGGGCTCGGGGAAGAGTTCGCTGCCTGCTGCTCGTAGCGCTGCATAGCGCTGAGGATCGACTGACGCAGGTACATGAGGTGGTCTAAGTCCCTTCCAGCGTACTGAGGGTGGGAGTGCCTGTTCAAGCTGTTCATGACTTTGGTTCCCATTGCGATCCGAGGTTTCTGGCTTTGTTGACTGCCTTGACTAGCGACGGAATTGCGTTTGCTTCCGGGCTCGTTCCCGTAGAGCATAGCATCTGTTGGTTCGGGTGTGGGGCACGAGCTTTTGTAACCAGAGTCGATCGAATTGGAGCCTGCATATCCAATTGAATCTTTATCGACATCCGAACAAAATCGGGAACCGGGAAGACGATGGTCTCTTATTCCGTAGTACTGTGGACCTGCACCTCCGAAATCATGATCGTCAGATTCGCATGGATCCTGGATGGCGCTTATTGTTTCAAGGAGCGGGTTCGCAGTCTCCATCCGTTTGCGACTGCGCCGGTAGCGACACCGATGATGCTGAGGACGGCGATACACGAGACTCATATCGTCTTTCGAATTGCCCAGTTTAGAGGTAGTTTCAAAGTTGAATTCGGTGGCGGCAGCTGCCGGTGCGGGGGCCACCAGTTCTCGGTTCGGCACCGCCAGTTCCAGCGCGCTGCCCCCAATTACCTGTCGTGCACCAGGTTTGCTCCGGTGTCTGCTGCTGCTAGTGCGTGGTCGAGGGCGAGGCGCCGCTCCAACCACATCATCCTTCTTTGCTCTGATGCTCCCAGCGGGCTTAGGCTTCTCCTCAGATTCTGCCAACTTTCCGAAACTAGTGTGCGTGTCGATGAATTCTTCAAATGTAGCGTACATGTGCCATATCTGCCGTGTGAAGTCGTCTCCCTGGACAGACAGCTCCGCCTGTACACACAAACAAACGTGCACTGAGGGTCACAGGTCGAAACGCTCAAAACATTTACAGAATTACTTTCAGTCACACTTCTGGCGAGGCACGCATATGTACCATGCAGAAGCACGTCTGAGACAGCAACATGTTTTCTGCATACCAAGGCATGACGAACAGCAGTCCATGATGGTGTACAGTTAAAACGGAGAAAATTAAACAAGACTTGGACTTGCAATACTCCCATTATGCTTGAGTTTGCCGCACAGCAGCACGGCTTCGAAACCAGTGCGGCATTGTCTTCCGTGCAAGCCCATTCCTTTCTTACTCGATACGTTAAACTTAAGCATCACGACATGAAGACGTATGGAGGAGTGAAGGTACATATCCAACATTCTTAAACTTTACATTAGATGGAGGTGAGTGAACAGCTTCACACTCCGGCTACTTTACCCCCATGGAAACAGCCTTCGGTAAAAAGTGAAGTTATCCCTATTACAGGCCGTGGAGGTCCATAGAGCTGTGAGACGTCGAGGCTCCCATGTTTCCTAGACGATCGGCTCACAGATGACAGTGAGTTTGTCAGCCTTACGCTCCGGTCTCCTTTACCTCCAAGGAAGATTCCTGGTACCATATCTGTTAGAGACTGGGTTAACTCAGGGCCACAGTGCGGCTGGAAGAATTAGGTCAACTGAAAAATCTATTGACCTCAGCGGGAATCGAACCCGTGACCTTCCGGCTTGTAGGATAGTGTCTCGACCAACTACGCTTCCGCGTGCCTCCAACAGGATGCTAAAATATAATATTTAAAGATAAAAATTAACCGACTTACTACTGAATAACTTTGTGGTTTACATTCTATCAGCTATAATAGCAACAGGATCTCCTTTAGAGCAGGCTATGACTGTTTTCTCTGATACTGGAACTCGTATCGCTTAGCCTTGCACATTATACAGGCGCCTGCGCTCTTGCACGTCATTATGCGCTGTAAACATCTCAGCAAACTGGTAATAACAAGTTCTCTGTAAAAATTATCCTAGGACACAAATTTCTTTTTCGGGTCGTGGGGTACATGTTCGGCGTCTATTGCTTTGAACACTGCGATAAATGTAGTGCGTAATTGGCAGGGTTCTTCCTCACGACAGGAGATGGCAATTTACCAAACTCCATTGTTAATAAACACTAAAATCGTTTATTACGGAAAGACATTCCAGATGTGTTGCGCCCTACGAACTGCACAGGAGAGACAACCCGAATTTATGTGGCAGGTCGAGTGAAGGAAGGAACAGCTGCTGTCCCGCGTGGGAATGCGCTCCAGGGCAGATCACAAACCGCAATTACAGTCTGTTCCGGCAGCCTAGGGAAGTTCCTGAGCTACCTGCTACAAGTAGTTTTCATGGGCACAAAATGAATTCGCTGTATTGCACGAAACACACAAACAGACACAGGTTAAAGTTGTGTTAAGCAACGTTCCTGCAATTGAAACCAGTGTTTCGAATTGTTACACGAATTGAAACAGTTGTCACCTAATCAAATTACTAACCCAGGATTTGACTGGGGTAATCGAGTAAAACAACGAATAAACATATGTGAGGATAGCCGTTGTCCTGGCCAAGAGTCGAACCGAACACATCCACAACATAAATGTAGACTGCTACCGCTACGGAAACGTGCTGGGCCCCACTCATCCCAAAAGTTACTGGCAGCAGACTCATGTTTCAGGCGTCTCTGCTTCTTGTGGAAGCTCCCCGATACCTGCTTGGACAGAAGTCCGGTTTACAAACACTACATGACTAATGCTGTACATGTATATTGATGGTTTTGTAGCCAAATGTTATTAAGAAGGGCAAGGCAGACGAAGCATGCAGCACAGCTGCCCAGCCTGGTACTTTTGCTTCGAGGGTAGAGCAGGCCTCTATACGAAGTAATTGCGATCCAGAAAAACGAGCTGGTGTATGACGGATGTGCATGTTCTCAGCTCTCCCGGTCACGAAAAGGTGGTTTATGGAACGCAGCTTATCTGTTTGGGTGTACACTTGACTAGGTCAAGGCCTGGACGACTGAACGGAACTCTGATGATGACAGAGGGCACTGAAGACGAGTGGAGAGCGCAAAAAGCGGTAATTAGGAAAACTGTACTGTTGTACCCCAGGTTATTAATGGGTATCATTTTATTTAACGAAGGGCGATCTCATGTTTCATTTATTAGAAATGTATTATAAGTCTTGTAAATTGAAATACGGTCGGTGAACCAGGGGTTGGTGAGCCGGAAACCAGAGTTGGGTTCCCCTTTAGGCGTAGCACATTCCTCAGGCATGCGGCTTCAGTTGGAGAGTTTATAGGAAATGCTGACAAACTGGGTGAACGGCACAGAGGCAAGTTCCGCTTTCGCAGTGCAGGTTATCGTCCAGTATGACAGGATTCTGCGTGAGCAGAATTTCCATGATGGTGAATTTTGGGGGGTTCGGACGAGAGAAACCGCTGGTACTCTGACTTCAGGAGTCGCTAGGAGCAGTCGACTCTAGAAATCGTGAGGTAGGAAGGAGACGCGATGGAGTGAGATGTCTTCATTTTCACCCTCTTTTGTAAGCTCGAGGACTTGCCTGTGTTCGGTCCTGTATTTGTTAATATGTAATTTCTCATTGACTCATTAGGATATGAATTTTGGTTTGTTAACAGATTGTTAGAATAAAATTTGGACAATGCTTTTAGCGTATAAACTTTGGGTGTTAGATTTCTGAAGTGGAAATTCTGACCAATTATTAGAATATATAGATTTTCGTTTATGGACTGATGGTTAAGATATAAGCATTTGGTTTAGTAATTACGTGTTAGGATATAATATTCGGTTCACTAAATCTTTAATAGAATATATAAGGATTTAATTTTAAATAGATCGTTAGGATATAGAATTTTATTTACATGTGATCGTTAGGAGACATAACTTGATTTACTATTTGATTGTTTGGATAGGGAATTTGGTTTGTGCTGTGTCCTTTTAAAACAATTTGACAAACGGATTTTAAGAGCTAATTGCAGGGAGTGCGATACAGTGTTGTGTACATTTTATGGGTGTATATATGCACTTGTTGATTTCATTATATTTATTCTTGTTGTCACCTGTTGAGTGCTTATTGGGGTATTCGTAATAGTTATATCACTGGGGGGAGTAGGAGCTATCCACAGATGTCTAACTGGTGGCAATTACGTGGAATATCCTACATTTTCATGGTGGCCGTCAGGTGCCACAGTAAAACGGCTTGCAGCATTGGAGCTATAATAAGAATTTTTGTGCTGCACAACAAACTTCTGGCCGCGTGGGACAGAATAAGGATTTTGGGGGTACCCGTGGTGCATGACGCTTTCGGCACTTGTGACGCAACGAAATTTGTGATCGCGTTGGGATTAGTATTAAAATATTGGAGTACCTCACCACCGCTTATACAATAATAAACAGGTGAAAAGGGTTGCGCCACGACAGTACTATCAGCATTGTAAATATTCTGGGACATTTTCTTGAAGAAGTAAGACGACGTCTGTTTAAGTGGTCAATATATCCATTCACCAGCCCAAACCCTTTTATGCAATATGCAAGGTATAATCGCCAGAGTCGAAACCGTTTGCCTTGGTTTTCATTCGTGAGTTATTTGCATCAGTATGCAAAGTGGCTGCGAAGCTGCATGGCTGGCTGTGCAGACAAATTATATGTCTCCTTCTCGCATGCACTGAACAATGGGGTCTGTCTTAGAGGAAGTCGCAGGTTGTTTGTCTCGGAATAGATCAGTACTCAGGTCAGGACGTAGGGGCACATAATGATAGTATTTAGCGAGGGGAAGAGAGGAATGCAGTGAGGAAACCTGTTCCATCCATTGACCACAGAGCTCAGACTTACTCGCTGCTTCTCACTGTCTTCTGTCCAGACCGCACGAACAGCGGCCAGAAATGTGCGTCGAAGCTTTCAGAACAAGTTCCCCCGCCATCCACAACAGGAAACTTAAAACCAGAATATGTAGAACCCCAAACCCACCCCAAAACTGTGGAAATTATGTAGATGACAAAAAAAGGGGGATCTAGTTCGGATGATTGGATTTATTAGTGCCTTGGTTAAAAGTTCTCTAATCACGCGTAAACACAGCGCTATCGAGGTATCGCTACACAGTTTAGAGTTCACTGTTGCGACCGCACTGGGATTCTCCGACTTCAGTAGCCGTCTCCTGGCAACGGATCTCCACACAGAACCTATCACTTCAAGTCACTATGAAATCTTCTTGTTTTCAGTCACTTTGTACTCCCAGTTCCAGTTCGTTCCGAAGTTAGCAGAGCAGAACAGAAGCTTACTGTCGCCACTCAGCCGGCACAGTCACTCCTGGCATCGGGCCCCGCTGGGACCCATGGCCATATTTTGGTTTAGTGCCTAGACCTTTATTTTTTCCTCTTCGTTGGTTCTCCTTAATGATAAAAAGGAGGGGTTGGTCTTTTGTTTTTGAATTGGTGTTCACTTTCTGCACTGTTCACAAGTATAATCTGAAATTCAATTCTAATATGTAGAGGGACATCTGCCAGTGCAGGAATGTGAAGCAGCCTATGCTTCAATTTATTTAACGCTCCGAAACGGCCGTAGGCCTGACCGCCGCTAAGTTTAAGGCTCTTATATTTCCGTTGCCTGGCTCCTCCTTGTCCAATTGCATGTACTTTTGGATTTTCGTGATTTAGGATGACATCTGCCTGCCTCCTGCATAATTTAGTTACGTAATCATACACGTACGGAATTTTGAACGTCGAGTGCAAATCGCGGACCGGCGTGCGCCTGTCAGGATTGCCAATAGCGCGGAGAACTCTGTTCTGCAGGCGCTGCAGTTTCCGCCGTAAACTCCCAGGTGGGACAGGCATAAGTCAGTATTGATCTAATTAGTGCTCTGTACACGATTAATTTAATGTGTGTGCTCAAGTGCTTGCTTTTGAATATAGAGTGTGTGCCCAAGGCCTGTTCCGAAGTTGCAGCTTACAGCTCTCGTTATATAGCCGCGGCACGGACCGCATAGTAAACACAGTTCTATTATTGACTGCATAACCCCGTTGTTCTGCTGTTGCTTGACGGAAACCGCATAGAAAACAGTTTCCCTTATACTGCTGCATATTTGGAAGTGTTTACTGGCCGTCACATAGAAACAGCAGTTCTGTCCTTGCCTGTAATCGTTTCCGTGAGAATCTTTACGGACATTCCTCTGTTGTTGCGTAACGTAGCAACGGACTCTTTACCAAGAATGTCTTGGCGGAAAGTTCTTTAACAACCCGTTGCCTGGCAATGCGTTGACATGTCACAATATATTACAAAATACAATTGTGATCTGAATCACAGAAGGGCCCCCAAAATTTCTTCCAGAAGAAAATAACCCTGCTATTTGTTTCACTTGATCCTGGCAAAAACGTTGTTTGTACTTATCACCACTTGAACACACAGTTCAGTCGTCTTGTGGCGTGTGAAGGACCCCCCCCCTCCCCCAAGACTAATTTTGCAGGAAAGGGATTGTGTTGAGCTGCAAAGTTCATTTCACTAACTGCACACTACGTAGGAAATATTACGCTGCCCTTTAAGAATTCCAAAAATATCGCTATATCTCTGTCCGTATCTGCACTCTGCAAGGCATCACTGCCAAAGGATTCAGGTGCGCAAGGGAAGCCCGGCGGTAGAAAGGGACGTTTCGTTCTTGTGTTCTCTCATGCGATCATTTCATTTTAGAGCATATTTTCGTAAACTGTATAAAGACGGTGTGTCCAAATGTGGGGTGGGGGCTTGTCCCACTTGCCACCGACTTCCTCTTAGGCACTGCCCGCTGCAGATGCATCATCGGTGCATCTGCTCCTTCCACTTTCACTGCGCCCGCAGTGCCAGTTCTCTCGCTGCCAGCTGAACACGAATTTGCCATAAGGACATTTCTCCTATGTCCCAGCAGGCAGTTTGGAACATGACGACAGGTTGAGCGACACCACGCTGGAGGACCGCCCGTTTTGACTTTTCTGCAACTACCCTCCCTCCATACCTGGACACAGTCGCCTTTCTTCTAAACCTGAAAACTCTCTGCGCTCTCGGTAAGGGAAGTCAATTAATATGGGAAAGAGCAGAGCTTGCGCTTTCGATATGAACAAGATTCCTTTAATAATTGTATTTAAATATGTTTACATACGTGCTTCATAATTTACGCTGTGTTTTAATGAGGTAGGCGGAACAAACAGTACGGTCGCAGGTCAAGGCTGTATTTCGGGCTCAGTAAAGTTAACACAGAAATGCTTCTGTTCTCTCTTGTCTGCAAAACTACTTATTCGTATTTCAGAAGAAAAATATGCCTGGTAACCGAGGCATAACTCACGCGACTGCCTAACAATGCACTGGAAACTAATTGGATTGAGCAAACTTCACCTTGGGACGCTAAGAGACGCATGATTCCCAGCCTCCCTCACAAGGGCCTCCAAACCCGCATAACATATAAACATTAAATTAATTTGCATCACATATGATTTTCAGATTGGATAAGATAATGAATTCTCTACATCTTGAGTTTGTTCAATATAAAATCTTTCCAGTCAAATTCGATCACAGTGGGGCCCTCTGGGGAACTGACCAGTGTCCCCCCTCCGTCATAATGTTACGCTTCCATTTCTCTTTCGTCTCCTTTTACGTAGATAAACCTGGGCTTCAATTTTGAGTTATGTTTTAAAAACACGAACTTCTAAATTTTCAGAGAGGAGATGGGAACCTCATTCTCCTTGTGTCTCCGCAAACTTTCCTGCATTCTGAAGGGCGGATTGGCAGACAAAGATCAAATAATTATACTACACCGATCGGTCTACTGGCAAATTAACTAGTCTGTGTTCTCTTACCTAATCAGTAGCCCAGCTACAAACACAAGTTTCTGTTCCCGTCATGAAAACATCACACAACACCACACCACACCACACAACACCTCCATAGAACTCTTCGACAATCCACGTCGGAAGACAAATACGTTTTTATTTATTTATTGCTTTCTGAATTTGTAAAAACAACATTCACTTCTGCTTCAAGTTTGCATGTTCTTGACACACGTTGTTCAGTTACTGTAATTACAATTGCTTTTCATCCCGTGGCAAAAATAAAGCACATACAAATATACACTCGCAACAAAGACAACAATGTTTGTCTCAGTCAACAGAACAATACTGACAACAATGTGACACATTAAATAAACTGCATCACACGACGTGTCAAGTCACTGCAGGCGTGTGGATATCTATCGCGAGACTACGCAACGGCTCCAACTTTCGCGGCCCGCAGCTGCAGAGCAACTGAGCTGCGCGCCTCCCAGGGCAGCCCACTCCGTCCCACTCTGTCTCTCTTCAGTGGGACTAAAGTGGGTCTTGTACAGTTACCCAGGCTATTGTCGAGAGGTATTAACTGTCGCCCCGGGCACATGTGCCCGGTGCTAGTCATGCCCACACCAACATGTGAACTGTCAAAGGCTTGTTCAAAACAGAGCCCCTGCTACTGAAATGTGTCAGATTACATAAGTTTGTATTTTTCTCAGCATAGTTTAGTTAATTATGAAAACCTTTGAGAAAGCACACATATTTATGTCATCAGGTTAATTTATTTGTTATCTACGGAGGAAAAGATAATATATAAAAAGAAAGGTAAAGCTGTCCCTGTGACAGGCCGTGGAGGCCCATACGGTTGTGAGACGTCGAGGCCCCCACATTTTCTAGACACTCGGCTCGCGGATGGCGGTGAGGTTTTCAGCCTTACCGTCCTCTACCCCCAGGAAGATTCCTGGTACTCATTTCTGTTAGAGGCTGAGTCGACCCCAGGGCCATAGTGCGGCTGGGAGGATTAGGTCGATTGAAGAATCCAATAACTTCATTGGAAATCGAAACCACGACTTTCCAGCTTGTAGTACCTCAACCAAATACGCTACCACGTGCCCCTAAAATGGGATATATGGTAAGGTAAAGTTGTCCCTGTGCTTAACAAATTAAGCCCTATGCCATGAAGGCGTATGGGGGAGTGGATGTATAGTTACATACACATTTTGCCTGGGCACTAGCTGGAGTTAAGTGGTCAGTTTCGGGCCCTGGTCGCTTTACCCCCTGGAACAAAGGCCCCTTGTCCATTGGGTCGGAGGTTGGGTGGATTCCAGAGCCTGTCTGGATGATTAGGAGATGAGATAATTCTTGACTGTACCGGGATTCGAACTCCGACCCCTCGGTCGTCCAGCTCGTATCCAGTCGCTGTACCGACTGAGCTATCCCGGCTCTCATATGACAATTTAGTTTTCTATCCCCACTTTGCATAATGAACTGTTACGTACGCTACAGAGCGAAGCGTGATACAAAGAGAAACAGACGAACCTATGCAACTAAATTCCTCCTTCTGCAGATGTAAACGCCGGAGGTGACGCAACACGAGCCTGGAAGGAATCACATAATAACTTATGACTTCCGGTATCTACAATAGTCGCCAAATACTATATTAGCGCTATCGAACCGAGGAAAGTAAGTTGGGCGGGACATGAAGAACTCATGGATGACGTGAAAATTACATACGACAATGTAGTCGGGAAATGTGAAAGAAATAAGCAACTTGGCAGACGCTGACGTAGATGCAAGTATAATATTAAATAGACCTGACACTAATAATGACAGTCTTCGCGACACTCTCTGGCGGAACACTTGAGGCCTTCGGTCGTCATGTCACACGCCTCATATTGTCTTCATATGGTACTGTAACAGCCGGACTGTTCCGCCCTTCAGGACTTACAGGGGACACACGGACACGCCTGCGCCGGATTCATGTGGCTCTCGTGAACCAGGCAATGGAGGTCAAGAAAATCATACACGAGGTTAGCAAGCATCAGCTTCTCAAGAAGGATTCTGCTCCAGGTGGCAGGAGAGCTCCCCTTTAGAGCAGCTGTCAGCGACCTCTACACCACGGAACTTCTTTACATCTACCTGTTACTGCGCACCCCCCTATTCAATGGGTACCAAGGGTAAAGCGGCCAGAGCTTGAAGCTGACCGCTTACCTCCAGCTAGTGTCGAGGTCAAGAAAATGTGGATCTATATGTCCACTCCCCAGTACACCTTCATGGCGTAGTGCTTGCCACGTAATTACTTAAGCACAGGGACAACATTGTGAAGACTGCTGTCATGACACCTTGTGGTCCGTTGCAAGTCAACAGTCGCCTCCGCCTTCAGGGGGGAAGCAAGGCAGCGGCGGTTTCTTGCTTCCCTTTCTCTGGAACCCTAAAAATGGAGGCGACATATTCCTCCGAAACGTAGATTGACTGTCAACGGACTATATTGTGTCGCGGGAGCCGGGCTAGCACAGTCGGTAAAGCGACTGGCTGCGGGATGGACAACTGATGAGTCGGAGTTCGAGTCTCGGTAAGATCAAGAATTTTCTCTTCTCCACGTCTTTCAGACCGGCTCTAGGAGCCACCCAGCCTTCCTCTTCAATGGGTACCGGGAGCTCCTTCCCGGGGGTAAAGCGGATGGGGAGTGAAGCTAACCACTCACCTCCAACTAGTGCCGAGGTCAAGAAAATACGGACCTATATATCCACTCCCCCATGCGTCTTCATTGCGTAGTCCTTAATTAGTTAAGCACTGGGACAAGTTTATCCTTACCTTACCTACATATGTCCCAGAATCTCTTCTCTCGTAAGGACCTCCCGTGGCAAGCCACCTCGCACGTTTCTCGGAAGGATATACGTTTCTTTGCAAAGAAAAATACTGCCTTACATTCTATTCGACGAAACGTCCTACAGACATGTAACGCTAGTTTACTGTTGGACATAACTTGAAGGGTGGCATAATGTCTCCCTAATAAACTGCTTTATAGCACCTTACGTTTATTACACCTATAGCCTTGTAAACATCCCTGNTTGCAAAGAAAAATACTGCCTTACATTCTATTCGACGAAACGTCCTGCAGACATGTAACGCTAGTTTACTGTTGCACATAACTTGAAGGGTGGCATAATGTCTCCCTAACAAACTGCTTATAGCACCTTACCTTTATTACACCTATAGCCTTGTAAACATCCCTACTACTATAGAAGCAATTCTTAAGCTGGCTGAGTAGCGAATCCATGTTTCTGAAGTATTGCTGAAGCCGGTCATGACCATAACAAATTCTTTCGGGCAACACTTGTTACTATACAATTCTGCTGTTTTGTAACAGCTGTGTCCCTTACCAGACTGGGCTGTGAAGAGCCCTGGTCGTAATGTTTGTGATTTTAATTTGTCTCGCTTTCCAGTACGTAGGTATATCAGTTTGCTTTATGGGTAAGTTCAATGCGAGATGCGTAATGAACCAATGAGAAGGAAGCAAAGGTGGTGTGTCGGCTGTGTAAAGCTATCCCTGGGCCGTGGAGGCCCATAAGGTTGTGAGCCGTCGAGGATCCCACATTTTCTAGACAATCAGCTCATAGATGAAGACGAGGTTGTCAGTCCACCCTTTACCCCCATGAATATTCCTGGTACTCATTCCTGTTAGAGGCTGAGTCGACCCTAAGGCCATAGCGCTGCTGGAAGGATTAGGTCAATTGAAAAATATGATAACCTCACCAGGAATTGAACCCGCGACTTTCTGGTTTGTAGCATAGTGCCGCAACCAGCTAACAGACACGCAGAGTTGGTCTCTCAGACTGCCACAGTCGCTGAAACAGTTGTTCTAGGTCCGGAACAAGCCTGATCTTGCTTTCGCAGGTAGCTACATGGTCCACTTCAGGGAAGGACGCCAATATGCGCACCAGCGATATGAACAGGACAGGGTGTGACCTTCAGTAACCTCCAGGGCGCCCACTGCCGCGCAGCTGTTCGTGATTGCTGTGGGCTACCGATCGCGTCATGCGCCCTCGGACGTTATCAGCACGTCCAATGCATTTCTTCTTCTACGTGCCTAGCATACTGACGTTCTTGCGGCACTGGGGAAAGTGAGAACGTAAGAAATACGTGTATATGTTACGTGCCTCAGTCTCATTTGCCTCATATCTCTTTCATTCGTCCTACTCTGAACATTCCCCCCCCCAAACCCTGTTTTCGCGCACTTCCTTGTGCCCACGCCTACGCGCATGCGTGAGATAAACAATTCTCGGCCCAAAAAACAGTTTTACATGTTTCAGTTAAGAAGGAAATATATTGCCAAGTGTATGAGTGACTGTAGACGGGGTTTGAATTGGTTACTGCATTTATTGACCTCTTATTCACACGACTCGTGACTACAAGCAATTACAGCACTGTTACTGATCTCCACACTCTACAAATCACTACAGCACAAGTTAAGCCTTCTCAGTCTGCTTTTACTAGCTGTTTCCTGGTAACGGATCTAAACACTGGAGACTCTTCAGCTTCTGTGATCAACGTCGTTGCCCGATGATTAATACTCCACAGCACATAACACACAGCACACTCATTGTCAAAGTCAAAGTCAAAGTCACATTAACAGTCGGGCAGTCAGTCAGTCAGTCTTGATGGGGCTCATGACCAGATATTTATTACTATTTGACAGTTACAGTTTTGTTACTGTGGGGCGCCCTCTCAGACGAGAGGACGGGTCTGTCTTTTGTCAGAGTCATTTTCTGCAGTAAATGTCGTTTGTCATAATGTAAAGGATATAGCTCCAATTGTCCTGCTTATACCAACTCGGTATGGACGGTGTAGAAAACACCGTTTCCAAAAATCCCTTTACTGTTGGTACTTGCTTATTAAGAATCTGTTGCCTAGCAGCGGACGTTGTTTCGCTGTCTGTTTTGCGGTCGCTACCTAGCAACGCGTCTCTCTACATGTTACAACATATTATTGTAGACAACGTCATAATTTTCTCACAGAATTCTTTTCAGATACCTGAACTCGTTACAGAGTCACAAGGCTTCGAATATGCTAAATAAGAATTCTAGAACAACAGACAAGGGGTTGTCTTGCAGTTAGAAAGTTGGAAGTGGACTTAATGTCACAGAATAGAATACACTAAGTTATATTAAACGCGCTCTATGAGAGTAACAAATTTCCAGCCACACTATTGTCCTGAGTTCGACTCAGTCTCTGACAGAAATGAGTACCAGGAATTTTCCTGCCGATAATGGGCGGCCGGTGCGAAAGGCTGACAACCTTACCGCCATCTGTGAACCGATTGTCTAGAAAATGTGGGAGCCTCGAGGTCTCACAAGCCTATAGGCCTCCGCGGCCTGTTACAGGGATAGCTTTACCTTTTATTACGCCTGGTAGTGTGTCGCTGACAACCAGATGACGTCCTGTAGCTTACACCCCAAG